AAGAAGGGAGGAGAAGGGATTGTGGTGTGGCCATCCCCCCTGGGGGGTGATTTCTCGCTTTCTGTCTCTCTGTCTCTCTCTCTTTCTGGCGGGTGCACACGCCCTATAGCAAAAAAAAAAAAAAAAAAAAAACCCTCTCCCAAAAAAAAAGATGTGTTCAAGTGCCCAGGACACGAGCCGCTTGACCATCCCGGCCATCCGGGATAGCCAGGAGCTTGCCCTAAGGATGTCCAGGACAAGCCAGCTGCCTCCTCCCCTCCTTAAGCCCTCGGTTTCCGAGTTCCCTGTCCCCATCCCTGGCTTGCTCAGAGTCCCTCTCCACACCCTGCTCTCCAGCTCCCCTCCCACGCCTACACAGGCCACGCTTCTTCCCGGGAAGCCGTCCCCCGACACTACTCCAGCCGGTGTCCGTCCTGGGGCCTTTGGCGGCGGCTGTGCGTGCACCTGGGGCCCTGCTCCCTGCTCCCTGCACCCACCGGCCTGTCTTGGATTTGTTTGTGGAATAGGATCCCAATCCCAAAGCCTGTGCTCCTGTCCCAGGGCCTCCCCACAGTACACCCCTGCCCACTCCTTACGGGGACCCTCTCCTCAGGTCTCATTCTGCAGCAGAGGCTGCGCCGTGCTGAGCTTCAACTCCGGCGCCGTGGGAGGAGAGACCACAGCAGATGCCTAAGAGCGGCAGGTGAAAATGGGTCCTTGGTCTGGAACGTCAGCGGGCAGGAGCCGGACTGAGCTGCTATGTCCTCGTGTAGAAAACCACACGTGACTGGGCCACGGGGGTGCGAGTGAGCGCCCTACAGGCCCCAGCCACTGACGGGCCTCATGTCATCCACCTAGATGGCCTGGGCAGCCTCCAGCTAAACTGGAGTCACGTGATCGCTTTCGTACTAGAACAGGGAGCGAACCTGCCCTCGGGAGCCACCCTTCCAAAGAGCAAGCAGCCAGTCAGCTTAGCAGAGGGGACCGAGGTGACACGAGGGGAACGGGGTGTCGAGGTGAGCAGCGGGCAGCGCCGAGGGGAACCCAGGAGCGGAGGTAGTTTCCGTGGGCGGGGCGGGCCTGTGGACACCGTCATGGAGAATTTCATCTCTCTGCACATCCTTGCACTAGGCAGGCCAGGGCTCCTGCCCCAAAGCGGCGGGACCGCAGACGCCTTTCCCGGCCGTGTCCAGGTGCAGACCGCACCGTATGTACAAACTCCACACGAAATAAATAAGGAGCCCACCCTTCGGCTGGGTCGCCCTGGGTTCTACCCCGGCGGCAGCTGCCCCAGACACAAGCCACGGAGGACCTCAGCCACGGAACTCCCAGCTCCAGGCATTCTGTGCCCCCTCCCCAGGAGTCCCCCTCGGTCCAGCAGCTCCTCAACAACGAACCCAAGGCCCTCGCACCAGGAAGCCCCCGTCCCCAAGGAGTCAGGGCCCACACGCGGGTTCCCGGGCGCACACCTAGGGCGGGGCGGAGGGCCGGCTGAGCCCCTGTCCTGGAGCAGGGTCACAGCCGTAGCCTCTGGTCCGGGCCAGCGCCGTCTCAGGCCCAGGGAGAGCTCCGCTGCCTTGCTGCCCTGCAGAGCCCACTCAGGGCCGGGCCCCCTGCTCCAGCTGCTGGTGCTGGCTCCGCACGGCGAACCTGTTGACATGCACAGGTATGGGCACGACGATCTTGGGGTTCCTCACGGGCTCCCCGGAGCGGCTGCTCACGTTGCCGGCTTTGATGCGCTTCCACTTGGCCCGCCGGTTCTGAAACCAGATCTTGACCTGCACCTCGCTGAGCTTGAGGGCGTGCGCGATCTGGGAGCGCTCGGTCAGGCTCAGGTATTTCTTGCAGTGGAACTCCTTCTCCAACTCCAAAAGCTGCTCGCTGGTGAACGCGGTGCGGCGCCTCCGGCTTTTCCCTCCGGGAGCCGTGACCCCTGCGGCCACGGGCGCCCCCTCCTCTGCTCCAGTCCCCAGGCTTCCTTTCAGCTTTGGTTTAGGTCCCAGAAGAGCCCCCGGCCCCCCTGCAGAACTGTCCAGGAAACCGTCGTCCTCGCTGTCGCCGCCCGAGCACTCTTCCTCCTGCTCGCTGCCTGCTGGGTCTCCTGCCGGCGCCTCCAGCTTCTCCTCGTCCGAGCTGTACACCTTCCCCTCGGCTGCGGCCGAGCACCGGGGCCGGGAGGCGGCAGCCGGGGCGAGACAGTTTGGAGGAGGCACACGGGGTCATGGCCAGGAAGGGGTCGGGGATAACAGCAGAAAGAGGCACAGACGTGGAGAGGCCGAGATGGGGAGGGACGGGAGACAGAAGGGTGGACATCCAGGGTGGGGAATGGGGACGTTGGGGGAGACAGAGAGGGGAAGAAAGGCGTTAGCCCGCACAGACTTCATCGCTGGACAGGGCGAGGGGCAGTAAGCATACGGACGGTAACCACGAAGCCTCCCCATCGCCCCATCCCATTCCCCCGAACCCGGACACCAAGGGCCCAGTGTCTCACTGGTGGTACACCACCCTTCAAACCCAGATCCCTCACCTCGAGCCCCAGAATGAAGCAGGGCGGGACCTGGCCTGGGACCCCCAGCTCCTGCGGAGGAACGCGCTCTGCAGACCTGCCTTTCACAGGGCAGGGAGGGCAGACACGGGTGCCGGCCTCCGCTGCTCTCCAGGGACCCTCGCCTGGCCCAGCCGACCAGAGCTGTCTCCTGACCCCTACCCTGTCCTTCCTGGCCCTCTTCACTAGACCTCGGGTCACCTCACTCCAGGAGGAGCCTCGGCATCTTCTGATACCCCACCCCCTTCAGGGTCCAAGGACCGTTCTCAAAGCACCTGGTGGAGGAACCCTTTCGGCCCTCCCCAAGTCTCCCAACCAGCGAGCAGCCCAGGTGGGGCTGGATTCCTCCCAGTTATGTAGCCTCGGAGCCCCTCAGCGCTTGCCCACCTTGCCTCGTTCCCAGGAGGCTGCCAAGCTGCGGCGACCGGCCCAGGCTCAGCCCCCCAGGACCTGAGGGGGGCAGCCGAGAGGAGAGGGGGACATAGGGGGAGGCGGAAGGGAGCGAGAGAAAATGTAGAGAGGAATGGGGAAAAGGAATTCCGACCCAGTAGACGGCTGTCTGTAATCGCAGGCGTGTGAACATTTCAATCCACACACAATTCCAGATTCAATCCCACCGTTGTCTCAGACACTGATGCCGTTGTCGGAGCTGCAGGGAGTACACTGCAAGCGTGTTCAGGGCTTGAGCTTGACCAGCTCCCTTGTTTTCTGCCCCAAGGACCAAAAAGAAATAAAGGGGTGGGGGGCAGAGGGCAGTAAGGAGGGCAGCACAAGGTGCAATCCGTACACTGAGTACAGGTGAGCGTCTCTAGTCCCCACCCTGAAATCCAAAACGCTTCCACCTCTGCATCGCTCAGTGTCCACATGATGCCGCAGTGAAAAACTCCACCCGGGACTCGAGGGAAGGAGCGCAGCCCGTGCTGCAGCGCGGAAGTATTGCACAGAACCGGGCCAGCCGAGCGGCCGAGCCAGCTGGGCCCCATGGCTGACCGCAGTCCACATTTCGGACCCAATGGCTTGAAAAACTCACTAGGCACACGCGCATCATGCCCAAAATCCCTCGAGAATGGAGGAGAAAGGACTGTGGCGCGGCCATCCCGCCAGGGAGGAGCTTTTTCACTTTTCCTCTCTCTCGCCCTTTCTCTAGCTCTTGCGGGTGCCCGCGCCCTATCACAAAGAACAAACAATAAAGAAAACGCTGCAGCTGTTTGTGGCTAAACCCCCAGTGTGCTGGACGGCACCAGGACAGTAGCAGGTGCTCAGGAAAGACAGCTGTTTCCGGGAAGTCGCTGTGCAAAGGCTGGAGGACTTCCTGTCCTGGAGGTATCTACCACCCATGCCATGAGTCAGAGCCCTCGCTGAGGCTGAGCACAGCTCAAAGGAAAATCAGCCTCTGCGGGGTGAGATGCATTACAGGAAGAAGGTGGGACCAGGGGTCAGCCAGCCACCTGGTGGTTATAGGCGCTGGACTCCCACATGGCCAGTCGAGGTTCAAGTCCCGCACCTGGTGGCTTGCTTTCTCTCTCTCTCTCTGATAAAAAAATAATAATGTTAAATAAAAATAATTCTAAAAAAAAAAAAAGTGGGACTGGCAGGTGGCATAGTGGTTATGTCACTGGACTCCCACATGGCCGACCACGATTTGAGTCCTGGACTCACACCAGGAGCGTGTGCAGGCATGCCTAAGATCCTGGGAGGAGAATGGAGGAGATTGTGTGTGACGTGGCCGTCCCTCCTGGGGGTGATTTCTCACTTTCCCTCTCACGGTCTCTATCTGTCTCTCTCCCCAGCGAGTGCTCGCATATGCCCTAAGGCAAAAATCTCTAAAAAAAGAAACAAAACAGAACAAGGTGTGTGGTGCGGTCAGAGCCTTCTTCCCCCAGGCCTCCTGTCGCAGCGGGGAGAACTTCCCCAGAGCTTCCCGGCAGCCCAGAAACACCGGACTCTTTCCGCATCGTGGAGTCGTCCTTCCTCCCTCTCCAGAGCACTTGTACCCGCAAAAACACGGTGACTTTCTCCAGAGTGGCCGGAGTTCTCGGCCTTCTCCTATCGGAGTTTTGGGCACACACGCACCTGGCGCGATTTTCACGCCCTCTCCCCCTGGTCCAGGACTCGAACTGCACGGTTGGCATGTGGACTCCTCCCTCCTTAACCACCACACACCTACCGCCCACGTTTATTTATCCTATCCGCTTCATGAGGGTAGAGTTGTTTTTTGTTGTTGTTTTTTCTTTATGAGAAAGAGGGGGGAATGGAGGAGCAGAGATAGGGTTTTAATTTTTTTTTTTTTTGGGAGAGGTTTTGCTACAGGGCGCATGTGCTCGCCAGAAAGACAGAGACAGAGAGA